CGCATGACTTGCTAAGTTTTAAACATATTGTTAAAGATTTTGTTTGGAGATTGCTTACCATGTGGTATGTCTTTATTAAATTCAATGAGTGAAAAATAATTTGGACCAACTTACCTTTGGTCGAGTTAGTTGGATTTTGAGCATGGTGTATAAAGGAAAGTAAGGTGTAGTCATACATTTTCTTGTTCAATTGCTTGCTTGATTTGTGTTTGAAAATGTTTTGTATACCTCACTTAGCAATCACATTGTTAGTTCAATTATGTGCATTATTGCATATTAATATTGGTTATGAGAACTTTTGTGTCTCATTTCTCGTAATTAACATTTTTATGGAAAAGGATTTAGCTAGAGAAGTGCTAAAGGTATCCACTAACTTGACCATTTTGAAAAATCTCTAAGTTGCTGTAAAATCTTATTAGTTTTGTTAATTTGTGCAATGAGCACTTTGCTCTGTTCGAACTTATCCTACACGTGCGTTGCGTGCCATATTGGATTGGCAATGTGGCACAATGCGCATTCATGTGCGTGTGCATATGTACTATTGTGCAATACCAAATACAGTACTTGATTTTAATTTAAGGAAAAAATAATAATAAATTTTTTTTAAAATATATAGATAACAATTTAATCTCTCGAAATACTATAATTTCACCAAAGTTGTTAGGTACTTTTTTGTTATCAATGAATTTATATAAATAACTAAATTACGCTTGTTGAAAAAAAATAATTCACAAGTTTTATTTAAATAATCATAACTTTCATTCTTACATTTATAATAATGCAACAGCAAATTACAATTTCACATGTTAAATTCTTGATTTGTTGTTGCATTGTTGTGAATATTAGAAAAAAATTGTTATTATTTAAATAAAACTTATGAATCATTTTATTTTCAATAAAGGCAATTTAATCGTTTACATAAATTCATTAATGATAGAAAAGTCTTTAAAAATTTTAGTGAAATTATAATATTTTGAGGGATTAAATTGTTATTTATACATTTTAGAGAAATTTTGTTATCATTTTATAACTTTTCAAAGGGATCAGATTGTTATTTATCTTATTCTTCCCTAATTTAATCCCCTTATGTTCTGCATGGATCCTGAGATATATAATGTATGCTTGTGCATGCTGAGACAAGTACAGGAGTACAGGACGCGGCAACCACCTGAAGAATACCAGCACCAAGGTACGAATCTCAGACATGTACGTGATCTATTATTTTGGCCAGCATCTACTAGTATTATGCTAGTTTTTAATGCACATTTATCAATGGAGAAATTTGGTTTCTATGTGAGTTGGCTGTCGGATCCCGAGCCACCCCCAGATTTGATGTTATCATTCTTTACTTTTTAAAGCCATTATACATGTCTGTTCGCATGGAGTATCTGGATTTTCCTCTGATCTCTCTCCAATGCACTTCTTTTACTGCGCGAGCTTCATATTCAATTTTTTTAATTCAGTTTTCTTTTTAATTTCTTTTGCGTTTTTAGCTGCATTTTCTTGTGTTTTTCCTTTTCTTTTTGAATATAATTGTGCAGTTTTTTCCAATTTACCCAAAAATATATAAAAATAAAAAGCACTAAAAACGCATAATTATATAAGGGTAATTGGTCCACTAGCCAAAAAAATATATTGTGTCCAGAAAATATGCACCAAATTTTTTGAAAATTTAAAAATATGGCCGGTTCACATTAATATATAAAGGAGTTATCATTAACGTGCAAGAAATTTATCATTAAAAATTTTAAAATTTATAAAAAATTTATTATTGATATATAATGGTATGTCATTGAAAAATATAATAAAAACTAGCCATAGTGCAAAATATAATAAATGCTGGGCTCATTTCTTGATTTGATCATTTAACATGAGCCATATCTGCAAAAGCTTCATTATATAATTACACGACCTCGGATAACTAGACAACAACAACAAGCCTTTATCCCACTAGGTGAGTCGGCTACATGGATTGCAAGACGCTATTGTATTCTATCATTTATCAAGCTTTTAAGAATATTATTAATTAAGAGATCGCGTTCAACAACTTCCAAAAGTATTGTCTTAGGCCTTCCTCTACTCCTTTTAATCGGACTCAAAGTTATATATTCCACTCTTCTCACTGGTACCTCCCTTGGTCTTCTTTGTACATGCCCAAACCATCTCAACTGATTTTCTACACCTCGGATAACTAGACATGAGATTAAAAATGCCTATGAAGAAAAACAAGCTTGTTTGTGTTGCTACGTTTGTGTGATTTTATGTGTGCGTTTGATTTTTAATTTATACACACACACATATATATATGTCAAAAGCATATTGGAGAAATCCAACTATTTGTTGGATTTTATAAAAACACATCTCAAATATAGTTTGGATATGTGTTTGAATAATATGATATTACAAATCTCACATAAAAAAGCTTCATACAATAATAAGAAATGTAATTTATAAGTTTAAAAAACTCATCCTTTTAATAAACTAATTTCTTTTTTAATGTTCTCTCTTTCTCTCTGAGATTGTGTTTGTGAAACTGCTGGTGCTTGACAAATGATTGTCAGTGTTGGTCCCCAAGTGGACGATTGGCATGTTGCTTTTTATCAGAGTTATCATTGATTAACATGTGGAATGTCACCTTTAGAAAGGATATAAAATATCGTGGGGGCAATTTTATTATATTTGTGTGCTAGCCTCACTCATACCCCAAACACTTCAGTGGGGAAAAAAGGAAAGAAATAAATTGAGGCGCACGTATCGAGGTAGTTTTAGCGCACTAGAATGTTTGACCAGATCATAATGCATATAGTGCGCCAATAAATTGAAGTATATGATGGATTGATGATATATACATGTCTATATATCAGGATGATTTACTGTTACTTATTTCTCTAATTACAATTGCACGCCACGCGATGCACGGGTTTAAATCATAAGCACGAACCAGTAGGGTTCCACGATAATTCAATATTTTAAAACCATATGAAAAAGGCATGGGGAAAAACTACGGAAGGGCCAAAAAGAATATAAAACTTTAGAAGAAAAATCCCATGCATGTTTAAAATTTTTCAAGAAAATTCCCAGATTTTGAATTTGTGAGGTGCAATGGGCCTTTTCTGAACTTTCATTTGATTTTAAGATCAAAGATGAAGAAAGAACAAAAGACGAATGAAAGCAAGAGACTCAAATGCAGAAGGAAAGACACATATATTACGGATAAAATTATACGTAGCTTGAGGGTGAAGGTTGTTCTATATGGTTTCAAAATTCCCATCTCTCTTAAAAGGAGATACTTTAATCGATGTTGTTAATTTACAAGATACCCTATACTGCCCTGATTAGACAAAGGCATATGAATAAATGTAAATGTTTGGTAAAAGCAACCATTATACGTTTAGATCTCTTTATCTGTGCACCTGTCATGTGTGACAAAAAAATGCATTTTTTTTTTTTTGGCTAGTATAAGTCGAAAGAATGCTCATGACTTTGTCCCCTTTAATTCATTGCATGCAATAAAGAATTAGAGAGACCTAGTTACCACCTAGTGTGCAACAAATCACACGTCTAAAGACCAACCAATAGCGATAAACTAGCTACCACCACAACTACTAGTTTATATGCCCTATAACTGTATAACTTTGATCTTTACAAAGACGACCCCTCACCAATAGGCAACAGCCACGCGAAGAGATCAAATGACAGAGTAAAGTGTTGAAGTCAACAATGAAAGCATACATACACTACACTTATGATTGAAATAATAATTAATCAATCTTTTTGTCACCAAAGCATGTGTAGAAAACGATCAGGCAAAGAGAAAGGAAAAGAAAAGCAAGACATCCCACATAACTAGAAAAGGAAAAATAGCAAAAATCAGGCATACAGGGGGTAACATGGGGCACACTCTCGTCAGATCACTTTATTCTGTGTGTACTTTATTAGGTGCTCTTGTGTGGGGGTGTGTTCCTCACGCCAACTATCTCATTGTCGTTAATTCACATATACACATACTCCTCTTCTTGGATCTCTTCTATAAGGGAATAAAGCGTCCAAGCTGTTCTTTCAGGTGTCACTCTTCTGCTCAAAGCTTTTCAGTTTATTCCCAGTTTTAAAAACTTGAGGGGGCATCCAACCAACCCGCCTATTCGGGGAATATAGTTTCAAACTTTGAAAGTTTAAATCTAGCTCCCTATATAGTTTGAATCATATGTACAGGAAAATGAAGAGATTGCAAACATATTCTGAATGTATATAGCCATCATGTCCAGTTGAGCTATTTGGTATATATGTTACATAATACTGATTAAAGTCCAAGCTTGAATATAAAAGGTTATAACACTCGAGTTAGTTTTGTCAGACTGACACACACATTATTTATTTTATTTGATTGTGTAGTTCTTCTAAACTCTAAAGCAAATGTTATAAGTAATATATAGTGACAAACAAAGCATTCCAAACAGGAACTAGCGATTAGATATATATCCCAAGCGAGTTTAATGAACAAAAAAGGAAGGGAATTGGCAATGACACGGAAACTGAGGGGATTTCGTTTTCTGCCTTCTAGTGCGTATGTGTGTGCAGATCTGTGGGTGGGGTGGTGGGACAGTGAGACCATGGTTATGTCATGTATACGTAAGCCTCTCGGGAAAGGAACAAAGAAGAAACAAGGGACGTTAGGAGCATAGAGGGCGAGTGAAGGCATGTGTGAGGAGAATATATCCTTTGCTAGTTCGCCTGTGGGGGGAGGGCGAGTAGGGTCTAAATTTTCGGGGCCCACTAATGGAGTGCTCTTTCGGTAGGCGTTCTTTCTCGGGGACCCAAATATTCTTAACTTAAGTCACGTCAGATTGGGACTAGTGTGATGTAACTTGCCGCCTATTTCCAAATCACCATTGACGGCTCTGCTTCTTCCAAGTCAATCACCACACGGAATCTCAACCCTCCGTTTTTGCACAAGGGGATATAGAGAAGGTGGCGCCATATAGATACAGTTAAGGCCCACGGTTGTTGTCATCGATGGAGCCTGGCAGGCTTAGACCGTAGCGCAGGACAACATGGCAGATCACTAGGCTTACCTTTTTCTTCCTACTTATCACTGCCAGTGTTGGCTCGTCCCAAACTCGTGGTATCACACAACGTTACCGGTCTCTCCATATCTCACTACTTGACACTTAGAAATGTTCCTCTTTTTCTAACTCTTCCTGGCTAGATACCAACCTACTTCTCTCCCTCTCTGTGCAAATGCTGATCATAAACTGAGATAGTGGCACTTGAAGTATCACAGTGATCTGCTCAAAGAGAAGGCCTCCCTGGTTTGGATTCGCTTGTGAATGGGTTTTTCTTCTCCGCACATCTGCATGGAATCATCAGATTACTGGCTTCAGGTATGCCTATAATGCGCAAACTCTTTGTCTCGGATACTTATTCTAGAACATCACACATTCTTCTTATTAAGCTTTCCTCACTTGATCTGTGCTGAATTCCAATCTATTTCTCATATTTATCGTATATATCATGTTAAATGTGGGGTAAAGTAATTAATTTGATAGCAAGAGTGCTGGTGGCATTCAATTTAATTAAAGATGATTTTAGTGGTTATGACGTCGAGTTGCACTCTGCACCTTTTTCTTTTCTGCATTTTATTGCAGAAAAAAAAAAAGGGTATGAATTGCCATTAGAAAGAAGGAAAAAGCCAAGGGAAAAAAATTTTAGAAGCACGAGGAGAGAAGAAGAATGTAGTAAGAAAAAGACACACAATGCTGACCATTAGGTGAGTACTTGTTTCTTTTGGTTTGTATTAGGGCACAATTCACGAGGAATCTGGATTGGAATCATCTTCACCATCAGGAGACATGCTTACATGCTCCAGGCCCTTGATAGAGAGGAGGCTACGACCACCACAAGACCAAGCCCTCAAGTGCCCTAGGTGTGATTCCACACACACTAAGTTCTGCTACTACAACAATTACAGCCTCTCTCAGCCAAGGTACTTCTGCAAGACTTGCAGAAGGTACTGGACCAAAGGTGGCACTCTCAGAAACATCCCCGTTGGTGGTGGTTGCAGAAAGAACAAGAAAGTCTCAAGCAAGAAATCCAATAATGACCCACCACAGCATAATCAAAACCAGCCAGTGCCTTCTGCAAGAATAGCCACATCTTATCACCGCCATGACAACCCTAAAGACCGTCTTCAACTTTCTTTTCCAGACGTGCAGTTTTCTCACAGCGGTAACTTACTAGGAAACCCTAATTTCATGCTTGAGAACCCTAGGCCTATTGACTTCATGGAAAGCAAGCTGGAAGGGATAATTGGGAGTACACCTGAGAACTTCCATTTTCTGGGGAATACTGATATGGGTATGGGAATTAGAGTTGGTGACATTAATGGTCATCACAATGGGTTACCGCCAAATTTTCAGAGTCTTTGCTCTCCATCGGGATTTGGGGGTATTTCACCTTTTGATGGTAATAACAATAACAGTACTGGGACTTATAATATCATGGACTCTTCGTGCCAGAGACTGATGCTGTCATATGATCATCCCAATGAGGACCCAAATGCCATAATTGATGTGAAGCCAAACCCTAAGCTTTTGTCTCTTGAATGGCAGGACCAGGGTTGCTCTGATGCTGAAAAAGGGTCATTTGCGTATCTTAACAGTCTAGGATCATGGATCGGCATGATTAATGGCTATGGTTCGTCCACGACAAACCCTCTAGTCTAGATCTAATTTCACTGCTTTTGATGCATGAACCTATCACTTTCTCGTTATATCTATATATAAAATATTCCTAAGCCTATGATAGGAAGGTTCCTAGTTCCTTCTATGAAAGCGGTCTACAGTTTCTGCATTGACTTGGCAAAAGAGTGTGAACAAGAAGCTTCAGGGTCCAATATCGACTGCCTGGTGGGTTTACTTTTGGTTTATATATATTCGTGTCCTTGTGTGTGTAACATATGTGAAAGCTTTAATTAGGATTTTGTTGTAACATTGAGGAAGATATGGTGGTTCTTTTTTCGGTTAAAGAAAGCGCAATCAATAGTAGTGCCATTATCTTTTAAATTCTTGTCTCTATATGCTTTTTTGATATATTATGTCCCTGGATTAAATCACGAGAATTTTCGTACCAGAGAATTTCACAATGACCTCCAGAAAAAAAAGTAACAAAGAGGAAAGCATTCTAAGAAGAAGGTTTATAGGTTTATACCAAGTGTTGGCGCTACATTGATCGAGCTTATCACAGTATAGAAGTGTATATATTATGCGTGTGTGCGAGATCGATCTAAGGTAACATGTGTTGAATATGAGCTTTATGAATCCTTTAAATATCAAAACAATTTTGTGATAATAGTCATGGTTGACGTAGACGCACGAGATCGTGCAGAACTAGTTAGTGGCAGGCAAACCTAATTAAATAAACCAAATCGATCAGGTTCAGATAACTCAAATCTTTTAGCATTGCTTCTGCTTTAATTGAATTACTTGACTGGCTTCTTTAAATCCGTTTTGGCAATCAATAAATGGTTAAGGAACAAAAGAAACTAGTTCTCTTTCCATAATAATCTGTATCTGTATCTCTTTGTTTTTAATTTGGGTGAGGCCGAAATGAAAGTTTAGAATTGCGGAAATTTACATGATCGTTCACGGTGCCAGTAATATATATGCATGATCTGACATGCACAAAACAAGTATTGATAAAATGATAATAACGGCACTATACGTGTATTGGTTAGATTATAATCTTTCTGTTATGAGTTTACATCCATCAGTGCCTTCATCAGGATTTGAGGTTCCGATGCGTGTAGGACTGTTTGTTTTTTTGACCTGAAGTAATATGATTCAATATCGAAGCAATTTCTGGTGGCAAAAGGGAAAAAATGTCAAACAATTCTCAGTTGACGACGGTTCAGGTATTATAGAAAAATGCAAGATCTGGTTATGTTGTCGTTTAGCGCTTTGGCAAGTGTTCAAGTCAATATAAAAACCAAAAAATATTAGGGGCATTCAGAGAATTAAACTCGAGACCTCTTGCACCCAAAGCAAAAATCATACCACGAGACCAAATGCCCGATTACATCTCTCCTTGTCCTGAATTAATTAAAGTGCCATCATATTAGCTTGAGATAATCCACATATATCGATTTAAAATCTGTGTGTGTGTGTGTGTGTGTGTGTAAAACCTTATTATTATGCATGGACTCCGCATTTAATTAATAATCCATTCATGCAATTCTCAGCACACCCTCTTTAGCTAATACTGATGATTTACTTTGTTGCAGGGCAAGGCCATACATGGAGTGCAAGTATTTTGAGGGCATCAAAAGAATCGATAATTTCTGTGCTTGGATTAGTTCAGGGAAGAACAAATTAGCAATAGTATTCACAAATAATGGAAATGCCATCACCCAAATAGAATATATAGGACCATATTCATATACGCCAGATAGAATATATACATCGTATTCATAAAATAAAGTGAACAAGATAACTTATTTTAAACTCTACACATCTATGAGATTCATTTCAGCTTAATATTAAATTAGAAATTCAAAGATCAGGCGAGGGTTTGATTATCATGCCTCCTTGTGAATGTGTTGAGTAGATGTATTTACTGCTATGTTTAGGCTTCTTTATTTATTTTACTTTGTTTAATCTTTCGTCTTGAATCTCGATGCTCTTGTACGTGCCTGATGCTTAGGCTCTTTAGAAACAATTAAACTGAAAACATCTATTCAAACAAATTTTTAAATTTTTTTTTCAAACATAAAAAAAAGTTTTTAAAAACAGAAAACAAATAGATTTTTAGGACTTGTTTGGTTTCTATTCTCATTTTTTATTTTTAAAAATTATTTTGCAATACAGTTTTTAAAATTGTTTTTTAAAACAAAATAAAATAAAAATTTATCTGGTTATGTCAATTAAAAAACAGTTTTAGATTAAAAATGAACTGATAGTGATGATTATAAATAATTAATAATAGTGATTAATAATAGAAATTGGTCAAAATAACTATAATTTTTAATAATTAAATGTAATATATTTTAAAATAAAAAAATAAAATGAAAACAACTTGAGTTGTTTCTATTTTTTTGTTTTTTTTTAAATGAAAACAGTTTTAAAAATAATTAAATGAAAAATACTTATCCAAACAAATTTTTTTAATTTTTTGTTTTTAAAAACAAACAATAATTTTTAAAAACAAAAAAAAAACACTTCCCTAATATGCTTGTTTGAAAGTGCTTTTGTTTTATTTTTTTAAAAATTGATATTTTTTATAGCATCTTATGAGAATAAAAAATAAAAAAAGTATTTTTTTAACTTTTTCTTATTCTCCAAAATAATAATCTCAAAATACTTAAAACATATTTTTATTTTTTATTTTTCAGAATAATATTTTGGTTTTTTGTTTTTCAAAATATTTTTAAAAATATATTACCAAGCTTTTTTTTTTTGTCATAGATGACAAAAAATTGTTCTCAAAACACATTGCCAAACAGACCCAATATACTAGTTCAACGAGATTAGAGGTTAGATATTAGTGAATTGGGGAACAAACACCAAGCATCAAGTGATCGACGAACGGTTGGTGTAAATTTTGAAACCTTCTTGTCTGTTTAGGTAACAGTAGTTAGCTTAGTCACTGTATTGTCATGACAATAATGTTCTTGGTATAATTATAGTACTACTGCGAAAGGCTAATTACAAGATAATAATTCCCATGCCTAAATTGCATCCATAGTGGTGAATTACTGCTCCCTATATTGATTTGGAAATTGATAATGATAACGTTCTTCTATTTATATATGTGTGTGTATCTATATTATTTAATCTATAAATCCTTCAACCTTGCATAAAATACAAACTCATGTCTAGTTTTTTTTTTAATGATAATAAAATCTCCCTGAAATGTATAAATGATAATTTAATTCTTCTAAATGTTATAATTTTTTTAAGATTTTTAGAGACTTTTTTGTCATTATTGAATTTATATAAATTATTAAATTACTTTTGTTGAAAATAAATGATTCACAAATTTTATTTAAAAATTTACAACTTTTTTTTATATTCGTAACAATGTAATAACAAATCATAACTTCACATGTTAATTTGCTGCATTGTTATAAATGTAAGAAGGAAAGTTGTGAATGTTTAAACAAAACTTGTGAATCATTTATTTTAAACAAGAGTAATTTGATAATTATTAAATTCATTAATAACAGAAAAGTTTCTAAAATTTTAAAGAATTATAACATTTTAAAGAATTAAATTATCATTTATACATTTAAAGGGTAGTTTATTGTCATTTTTTTTTTTCTGACCAATACAAACTCATTTATAGTTACATAAAAAAAAAAATGACAGTTACGAAAAGATTCAAATAACATGTTATGTTATCCTTTAGTTAATTTTTATCTGGGATGCATTGAAGAATTAACTCATGTTCAAAATATGTCTCATAACTCCCAAAAAGTCCGTCTCAGTTCCAACAAAGCGTACACTCAACTGAGATGGACACAACTCTGAAAATGCAGAGCATGTTTAAAATTATTTTTATTTTATTATTTTAAAAATTAATATTTTATAAAATGTGTTTAAAAATAAAAAAATAATTATTTTTTATTTTTTAAAATAATACTCCAAAAACATCTAAAATATATTTTTATTTTTTTATTTTTCATAACAATATTATTTTATTTTTTAAAATACTTTTTAAAATTTTATTTTCAGGTAGATCTTTTTACTGTTCTCAAGACATAGATTATTAAATTGGACAATAAATTTTATTAAAAAAATGATAATAAAATTTTTTTAAAATGTATAAATAATAATTTAATTTTTTAAAATATCATAATTTTTTTAAAATTTTTAAAAGCTTTTCTATCATTATAAATTTATAAAAATTATTAAATTACTCTTATAAAAAATAAATAACTTATAAATTTTATTTAAATATTCATAATTTTTTTATATTCACAATAATACAACTACAAATATTTATAATTATATTATTGTAAATATAAAAAAATTATGAATATTTAAATAAAATTTATGAATTATTTATTTTTAACAAGAATAATTTAATAATTTATATAAATTTATTAATAATAAAAAAATATTTAAAAATTTTAAAAAAATTATGATATTTAAAAAATGAAATTATCATTTATAAATTTTAAAAAAAATTTTATCGTTCTTCCAATTTTATTCGCCGACCTTTATTCCTGCTTGTGTTAACGAAACCAGACGTTAATCGAAACGTTTGCGAACCTTTACGAGAGGCGCACAGCCTGAATTTCGAGTCGTTCCAAGTGAACCATCGATCATTTCTCATATCTCAAACAGAGATGTCTGCGCCTGAATCTCACAGATATCGTATAGGCTATGCTCTTGAACCCAAGAAAGTCCAGAGCTTCATCCTCAAGCCCCTTCTTGATTGCGCGAACGAACGTCGGATCGATCTCATACGCACATCGACCTGGCCAGATCCTTGATTGAACAGGGCCCTTTTGATTGTATCATTCACAAATTATACGGACAAGATTGGAAGAAACAGTTGGATGAATTTTCGGCAGCATACCCAAAAACGGTCATAATAGATAGCCCCGAGTTAATTGAGCGGCTTCACAATCGAGTATCGATGCTCGAGGTGGTGAACCAGATCAATATTCCCCTGGAAAACGACACTATCGGGATTCCCAAACAGCGGGTCATCCAGGAATCGAAAGCACTCGACGACGCCAACGCAATCGAGGAACTAGGTTTAAATTTCCCCCTCATAGCAAAACCCTTGGAAGCTAATGGAGGCCCTAATTCCCACAATTTGTCTCTGGTTTTCGATCATAGCGGGCTCAAGACGTTGAGTATTCCTGTGGTTCTCCAAGAATTTGTGAATCATGGAGGAGTTATATTCAAAATTTATGTGGCTGGGCAACACATAAGTTGCGTCAAACGGAAGTCCTTACCTGATATACCACAGGAGAAGTGGGAAACTATGAGTGGTGCGCTGCCATTTTCGCGGATATCAAATTTGGCCGTCCAAGATAACAGCCATACCGAGAACGATGATAGTGCCCAAAACAACGTTGAGAAAGCCGAAATGCCGCCAGAGAGTTTGATAGTAGGATTAGCCAGAGCAATGAAGGAGGCGATGGGCCTTAATCTATTCAACGTTGATGCAATTAGAGATGCTAGAGATCGGACAAGGTACCTGGTTATTGATGTCAATTACTTTCCTGGATATGCAAAATTGCCAACTTACGAGTCCTTCTTCACCAAGTTTTTGTGGGACATTGTACATCATAAACGTGCTTAGACAGGCGCTGATCTTCCAGCTTATACGACGTCTCAGCCTCATGACTATAGACATGACTGCTTAGACAAGTCAGAGGGTGGAGCTAGAAGGACGCAAGTGGATGGAAACAAAGCAAGCTAACAAATAATGTAGTTGACTTTGATTTTTAGCAAAATAAATTTTCTGTGCTACGCTGCAAAGGGTTAATTAAAAAAGGATTTAAAAATAAAAACGTTTAATTTCAAAGGGTCAAAAGCTGCCCAAGAAGCTGAGATATGCAACATTGCACAACAGACCATCAAAGATTGATTATAGGCAGACTTCGTACCATTGCAGTCGTGTGTTTTGCTGTTATGTGTTCTCACGTGACCTTGTTGATTTCCTGTGTTTACATCTCCTCCTTTGATCGACAGTACTTGTCTTAATTCCATTAGCATTGCAATAGTAATCACGTGTCTTTTAAATTTGCTCTCATTTTGGATTTTGACTTAACGTCTTGTTCGACTTCTAATGTATCTTGTGGGGGTTTAGCCGTTTAGGTATTGTTATTTGTAGGCCGAAATGGAACATGCTCGAATAACAGGATACTGTGAAATCCTTCACTTTGGAATGTCTGCCTTCTGTTAATGCCACAAACATAAAATCCTTTCTAATTTCTACTGAACGGAAGAAGGGGGTGGCAAAGATAGATGAAATATCTCCCAAGCATGCTTTGTAATTTTCACAATCCTTTCTAGTCCTGGCTCTCAACAGGACCATCTCAGAATCTAAATTCTTTCCTCCCCCCCCCCCCCGGCCCAAAAAAAAAAAACAAAAAGAAAAAGAAAATCATTTGCGTTATCCTCAAACAGCACGAAAAGCTCCACCCGTTCATTGCTTCTTAGTAAAAATTGGATACAACTGAAAAATGTTGTTCAGCTGTCAATTTGTGGCTGCTCGAGTAAAATATCCTGTATAATTCATTTCCTCCCTCCTTTTCCTAATGCCTGTCAGTGCACGGATCAAAGAAATTGCAAAACGTCATCTGACTCCAGTTAGCCTATTAGCCCAGAGCAAGGTCGTTAACTGCCTAGAGAAAAACCGTTAACACATCCGAGCATAGTTATGACTTCCAATATTTCCTCATGCTCAGCGAATCTTTCGAACGAACAACGGCAATGGTTCCACGTGACCACAAGTCAAATCAAACAAACCCACTTTCTGTTTTTTTTTTTTTTTTACATTGGTAAATGATGCCACCTAAACAGCCTTCTTTTCCGGCCAATTGAACGGACATGTTTTAAATATTCATTAACTCTAGAGATTTATAAAATTGTTCCAATTATACGTGCCAAAAGATTTTTTACTCTCATCGCACAGCAAACTTTTAAAATCAAGCGCATCTTCCCTCGTGTGGCACCAAAATAAATTAGAGATGAATAAACGATTATGCAAAAAAAATGCGCAAAATGTACCTGTTTCACTTTCAAGGCATTCCCAGTGAAAAATGGTCCGCTGCCAGGCATTTTTGTATGTAGTAAAATATTTATACAACTTTAAAGAGTCATACTGGCAGGCCCTTGCTCGAGTGTCAGAAACCACCATGCAAACAATGAAGCAACAAACCCTAGCAAGCATCACCAGTATTAACTTCACACAAGGACAATAGAACCCAGCAAACTAGGTCCAGCCGATAAAAGTTTTACATGAAGATGCTCAATGTCACTCACTGATCCTTGACTTGACGACATTAGAAAGCCAAAACGATGGCTGTTTTTGTCATCATTCCAGACATCGACGAAATCAAGCAGTGGTAGCCTTCTCTCCAGATGTTACCTCAGCGGAAGTTGACTTGGCACGCTTAGCTTCATAGTCTTTAACAGCTGCTTTGATGGCATCCTCAGCAAGCATGCTGCAGTGAAGCTTAACTGGAGGAAGAGATAGATGCTTTGCAATGTCACTGCAGAGTATCCATTATCAACTATTTGAGTAAAATTCCAAAAACTCAGAAAGCAGACTAGAACCAAGAACCATGAAAGGATAATCATCGCCCAAAAGGTCCAAAACTGACCCGCAGAAGATTTAAATAGTTTTCTAAAAATAATATCAATATTAACATTAATATTAATTCTGCAGGAATTATTAATTATTGTGATTAGCATCTGGGAAGGAAATAAGAACCAGAAGATACATAGAACATCAACACACCTTAAAACATGAAAAATGACCCAAAAAATTATATTTTATATGTATGCATTCATACAGAATAAAAATCGTCCATCACAAAACACTAATTCATCTATCTCTATTTCATCTACCATTTTCCCTTCCAATACATTGGTCAAACTAAGCAGCTCATAGTGCAGAAAATTCTGTCTAGCAAGAGTGATGCCATGGCTTCTCTATTGGGAAGCAAGTAATTCCTTAACACAAGCCGAAGCTTTCCATTCCCAGCCTCGGAGAATGATTTCAATTTTCACCAGTAATCTAGCACAATCCCTCCATGAAAGAAAAAGGCAAACAATAGGGAAGATGCGCAATAGTTAACAATAAATGAATTTATATCTCATCAACTCAATAAAGGGGAGACCTTATTTACAACGGCTGTCATTCCATTATTCAGAAGCACAATTGATGTGTATATCGCCTCCCTTTTCTGAGCCACAATAATTCATTTATTAACTACAGCTTATTTATCCCACCCTTACGTTTCAAATGAAAGAGGGACTGTGCTAGGGTAGTAGTATACTTTCACTATACAGATGGAAACAAAATGTTCCATGCTGACAGCAGAAAGTAATCCAAAGACAGGATCTGCGGCATTGCTTCCACCGGTATAAAGTTCAAAACAGGTAATTAAAATAAGAGTCTTGTTCCAAGCAGGGCCCTTAAAGTGCATTGAGTGAAAATTGAGTGAAAAAGCCCATTGAGAGAACAAACACTGAATGAGCAATATATTACAAATGGGGGAATGGGTAATGGAGAGAGGGGGGGAATTACGAAGATAACCTTCAACCTAGGGCAAATTTCAAATGACAGGTGGAGATATTGGGGCTGAGATGTTGAGATTAATCAACAAGGAGGCCCCCGGATCTACTAATGGATGGGCAACATTGCACAAACTTGGAAGACAGGCGGCTGATTTTCCAATTTCAAAGTTGAAGGGATAAGTCATACTATGCTTTGAGTTGGACGGGAATCTGAGCAATTTATCCAAAGCTTTATTTGGTGCTTATGCTGCCCTGTTTCCTTCCACAGTTAACCATTTATACTGAAATTCTGAAAGGAATCTAATTATCTTTATTTCACCTCAAACAAGGATCCAGAATGGATAAAAGTTAAAATGTCAGGACTAAGAACATACTGCATACTGTGCTCGCCAAGTTAAGCAATCCAGGTCGTCACTGTTTTAATAGTTGTGACAGACTACTATTGTTCCTTTCACGGGGTGAGGAAAGTCTATTAATCAGAACCAGCAAGCAACTTATGTACCATACGTATAATTATCTTCCAAATGAGGATGAAAAGTGGCAACCCTGACCTATCATGCTTCGGATAAAAAAGAAATTCAAGCCACTCAGAGAAAATAACACGCAAGTGAATCATATGCTCTGAGAGTTAGAACAAAGATACATACGTGTTTTTTATGCATAAAACTTCTTCCATTTGCTTTCCTTTTACCCACTCCGTAGCTGAAAAGTGACAAAACAAAAGGTTGATGTACTATTTAATGAGGATAAGTTACACTTGAATAAGCTGCTAAAACAAAAAAGTGCATGAAACGCAATCAATAGCTATGAAATATTCATTTAACGCAATCCAGGTAACTATTTATACAAATTAACCCCCCATATGCTAAAACCCCGTGATCCAAATGTGTCTCAAACTCTCAATCAAAAAACTGTTTGTGGGTGTTAATGATCAAAAGCAACTAGAGAACCAAAATCATTTATAACGTTACACAGCCAAGCAAGGCAAATGGACTAAAATGAAAAGACAACAAGCAAAAGAACTTTCCTGAACGAAACTCATCAAATTTGATTGATAATAGTAAGCACCAGTCCCGTTTATCATCGTATTATCTGTTTCGTGGAGCTCTCTAGTTTGCCAGAATCCAACTCATGTTTGCTAATATTCCATAATGACGAACTAGCACGTCAATAAAACTTCCTCCCATTAAGTTAAAACGAAATTGCGGAATTCCAAGAAGATGAAAATGATTAGAAAAGCAATTTGTTCAAACTCCGCCGGGGCCCTACACACGAACGGAGAAGCACAAGCGAATTCCCCAAAAAACAGTCCAAAGTACAAATTCAAACAAAGAAAAGAACGCGAGAGAATTCGGACGACCACATACCCACAGAGGAAGAGGCAATAGCCGAACCACAGCCAAAGGTCTTGAAGCAAGCATCAAGGATCTGTCCGGTCTTTTCGTCAACCTTAATCTGTAGTTTCATGACATCTCCACATGCAGGTGCCCCAACCAAGCCCGTACCGACCGTGGGGTCATTCTTGTCGAAGGATCCAACATTCCGTGGGTTGTTGTAGTGATCAACAACCCTCTCGTGGTAGAATCGGGGCAGAACCTGGAGCGCCGGCGACGGCAGCTCCCGCGAAGCTGCTCCCAAAATTCTCTTTGAAACCAGCCTCAGCATTTTCCGGTAGATTCCAATCCTCTTCCTCCCAAGGCTTCTTCCCCTTAAATATGCAAATAAATACGGTTGCTCAATTTCTGTTGGGAAGTAGATTAGCTTGGTTCCAATTAGGGCACACACGTGGAAGTTCGTGGTATCACTTTGTCCAACATTACTGGATCAGGTTGATCCTTGGTACATATCCCGCACCATCATCTAGTGACTCTGAAAGTCGGTTAATGCCGTCTTCTAAAGCCTATTTTATTTTTGGAGCAACATATGCAATGGCTCCGTCGGGCCTTATGACGATTAACCCTAGCCCAACATTCTATTGGGCCCAAGTTTTCCGTTTAATAAATGCAGGGAAATTGAAATTCAACAACACTACTATCTAATGCATGTAATGGAGAGATTAGCATGGCTTTGTTAACCATTTCTCCATCGAGATCCTTCGAAGCTGTAATTATGGAGTGGTTCAACTCTAATCATGTATTGAATAAATTAAACAGATCTGAAATAATTACCAATAATCCACCCACTTTTCCCATTAATTTTAAGGTATAATTTTATATATATATATATATATATATCATTCACCCTGAAATGCTCATGATCTTTAAGAATTACAAAGAAAAATGCAGTAACCAACTAAATTTGGCATAAATGGTAAGGGCTCTTGTCACTTAAGTAAATGGTTGGAGATTGAAATCAAAATCATTGTGTGTGTGTGCAGCAATTTAGTTGAAAGAGGTCAACCATTTGCCTTCAGTACTTATTGGAAGATAATGTTTGCTGTCGACGGGGTTTACTCCTTATGCTATATATATATATATATATATACACACACACACACACACACACATGAAGCTTTTCATACTAAGGGAAGATTACCATCGGCGAAATCTACTTCTTGTTTTATAAAAAAAGGTTGAAGGGTAAAAATGTCTTGAAATTTTTTCTTGAAGGGAGCCTTGTATTTTAATTTTTTTTTTGGGAGCAATTTTGCCCCAAAACTTTCAAAAAAGGTTTAATGTTGCCTCATCGTTAAATATGAAAAAAATTGACTATTAAACCTAATAGTTTGACTAAGATAATACATGTGTCATGTGCTAATTGATTCCCACCAACCTTCCACTAATAGTATACAAGCCTAACTCCTATAAGTTTCTTGACGCCAAGAAGCTTCCAACAATGATGCCTATGAGCAGCGTTGTCTTATAAAGGAGGTGGTGGTGCTGAAGACCAATAACTTTTCTCTTTTGCTCATGATTTTCAAGGCCTAATTTCTCATATTACCTCCTATGTTCTCCTCATCTTCCTAATGGACAAACCATACCATCCATTGGATTTTCTTGGACACATATATGTAGTTGATTTTATTAAAGCCCTGATGGTTGAATCGGAGAGTATCGACATTATGCTACAATAGCGAGAATGCAATGCCCTTCCTCATAACATCTCAAAATTCAATCTAGGAGTTAAATTAATTAATTAAGGGATTTAGTTAGTTAATTAAGATAACTAGAGGTTAATTAGATGGCTTTTAGGTTCATTAGACCCTATATAAGACTTAGATTTGGGCCTTAGGAGCTATTAGGCCATATCAGGGCTAAATTACTAGACTTAAGTAAGACTACTTGTTTTGGGCCATTTATTGCGATGCATGATGCCTTGTGTTGTGGCGGACATGACAAGATTTTAAATCCCTTGTTTATTGTTCAAAAATCATAAAAAAAAATAGAGAGTTTGAGAGAAAGGACGATAGGAGACGAAGAAGGCTTAGCTAAGGTTTTGTTTAGGCACCTGTTTGGAGCTTTTTAGGCTTTTCAATTTCTTAAGTAAGCTTCCACTCTCTCTTCTCATCCCTTTCTATGCGTTTTTTGTGACAAGAAGACCGAGGCTGAATTGTTGTTAAGTTCCAACCTTTCATAGTACTTCAGTGGAGTATAATGATTTTACATTTTTAATAATTAATTTAGGCTAATGACAATGATTAGAGTAATTAATGATGGGTTTAAGGTTAACCATAATGCTCACTGATCAAGTTTAAACTAATAAGTTAGTTTAATAGTAACGATTAAGTCTAAGAGAGGTTTAATAAATTAATGAAAGCTAGAAATTGAGTTATCTATGGTTAACAACATTAATTAGAGTTTTGCATCTTAACTATGATTAAGAGCTAGTTAATGATAATTAGTTATTAATGATATTTAATGGTAATGATTGTAGATTGACTACTATTGGAGCTCTTGTGCTTGATTAAAGGATCCGATAGTGACTCAATCATACACTTCGAAGGGTAACCCAAAAGTTAAGATAACTAAAAGTTAAATTTTTATACATAATTAACATTTGCATTTTTGAGTAGTTAGTTATTGATGGCAAGGAATTTGATGATATGAATATGTAGCATGTTAGTATCAATGATTAAAAATTATGTGGCTATGATGAGTTGAATTTCAAAGTTGATTTGTAATTTGTGTTTAAGTGAATGCTTGGTATTAAGCTAAGCATGAATATATGATTATAGCATGAGATTAAATATTGATTATATACTCTTGACTTGATAGCATGCACTTAATTATGAGAAAAGTTAGTCAAATTTGTATTCATGGCATGTCAATGAATAACATGGGCAAGTAACGTGAGTATAGTTATGTTGTTTAAAAGGTTGTAACTCAAATTGTGAAACTTGTCCTTGTGTTGAGGTCATTATTGATGAGAATATGTCGCATAATTATGTGAGTATGAATTTGATAGGCTTGAATCAAGTATGTATTGTTGTGATCATAAATTGCAAGTTTGAATTGGGCATGATGATATATGAGATGAGCAATGCATGCAAATTTATAAAGTATAGAATTATATAATCACAGAGATATGAATATGAGTATGCCTATGCATATTGAAAGTTGTATGATCATGATTGAGTAGAAGTTCACTCAACAAATAGTAAGAAGGTATTATTGAAAATTCAGGTGATATAACCTCATTAAGTTTGTGCACAATCACTAACATTATTATTACTTACATGCACATAATATTGTCATTAACTTTTGAGTGTGATATGAGTCAGATCCGATGCTCACTATCATCCCACAAGAGACGATGTGGGTGAGACAATTATAGTACCTCAGTAATTTGAGAATGGAGAAACCATGGATAGGTTAAAAAAAAAAAGTCAAGTTAACCTCAATTTAACATGGAACAATGAATAACTGCACTTTCTTTCGGAGAATCAATAACCAATAACTTCAAAAAAAAAACAGAAAGGAAAAATCGAAAATAAAGTGAGAAAGTCAGAATAATTAGGCTAAAAACATTTAAAAAAATTTGGATAATTAATGTGTTGTGTATAAAATAAGAGAGAGAAATATCAAAGTAAACAACTATAGAAGCATGCAGTTCAGCGAAACCAAATAAGCAATGTTCAAGTTGTTGCATTCATTACATAGATGATAGCGTCCAATGCAAGAACATCTTTATTACATAAAGCTCAAACTAAGCCGTCAAGACAAGTGATCATCAACTCACTGAACTTAAACTTGACAACATTAGAAAACCATAACAATGGCCGTTTTCTCCATCATTATCCCCGGCATACAGATGATAGGACGGAGCTAATGCAGTAATCTCTTAATCCCATCAACCAGATGATAGCACAGGGCAACAGCAGCAATATCGGCACAGATTAGGCTGAACTTTGACGAAAAATGAAAAAATTGGTAGAATTCAGCGTAAGTGAAGCAAACCAAAGGCATTTTCAGACATAGAAGATAAAAACCCAAAACCATAGCTGCGAGGGAAGCACCAGAGATTCTATTAAAAATTGAAGCCATGGAGGAGGACTGAGGCTTATAAATAGAAAGATGAGGAGATATCGGACGAAGTGTATTTTTCATAGGTGCCATGACCGGGGTGGCAGCTGTCTCTCCAGACGTCGCCTCAGCGGCTGTTGCCAAGGCTCGCTTAGCTTCGTAGCTTTTAACACCCGCTTTGATGGCATCCTCAGCAAACATGCTGCAGTGAACCTTAAACGGACGAAATGATAGATGCCTTGCAATTTCTCTGCAGGATATCCGTTATCAATTGTTTGAGTCATTTCATCTCAAAACTCGTGAAAGCATGTATGTTCCCAACAAAAAAGAAAAAGAAAGAGAGATTGTGCTAGAGCATACTTTCACTCCACATATGGAAACACATTTTTTTCCTTCTGGGTATATAAAGTAATCCAAATAAAGGAGTTGCGACATTACTCCCACCAGTTTGATGTTCAGATGTCTTGTTCCAAGCTGGGCTCATTATTTAGAGTGCATGGAGCCACAAAGACTGTTGAAGCGTCAAACATTGAATGAGGGATATATTGTAGCACCACAGTGCATTGCCAAGGGGGGGAAGGGGTGATAAGGAGAGGGGAGGAAAATTACAATAATAACCTAATGGATAGACGGGCAATTTTGTAAGAATTTGGAAGATTGGGAGCTGATTGACAACTTTTGAAGTTGAAAGGATAAGTTTCACAGTCCCTTGAGTCAAAGTAGAGCATAAGCAGAGCAATTTATCCAAAATTTTATTAAGTATAAAAGCTATCTTGTTTCCTTCCACGATTAACCATTCATACTGAAAGAAAAAAATCTCAACTACAACAGGATACGTCTATCTCTTCTTCAAAGCAATGGTCCAGAATGGATAAAAGTTAACATATCTGGACCTAAAACACAATGCATACCCTGCTTGCCCAATTTGAATAATACAGATCGGCAATGTTTTATTGTTCCCTACAGGTGGTGGGAAAATATATGAATACATGGTCATAACAAGCAAATAAATCATGTAAATATAATATGCATCTTTCAGATGAGGATCACCACCCTGATCTATAATATGCTTCGTACAAAGAGACATTTAAGTCACCCAGACAAATAATATCCATTAGTATCATATGCTCACTAGAGTTAAGGATACTCACATGTTTTTGATGGATGGAACTCCCTCCATTTGCTCCCCTTTTACCCATTCAGTAGATGAAAAGTGAGAAATAAAAAAGTTAAGAACTTATTTAATGAGGATAAGGTACCACTTAGCAAAATATTGCACCAAAAAAGTAAAAAAAAAAAAACAAATATAGTGGCTATTAAATCATTTAATAGCGATTCAGATCATCATCCCAGTACATTAATCCTCCATTTGCTAGACTATTACCAAAATCAGTGTCAATCCATAAGCTGCTTCTGATATTAACAACCTAAAGCAATTAGGTAAACAGAATCAACTACAACCTTACACAGTCGAGCAAAACAAAAGGATTAAAAATGAAAAGACAGGGGAAGAAAGGACTCCCCAAAACAAAACTCATAAAAATTGATTGATAGATAATAATACGCACATGTTCAGTTTTAATATGGTATTATCTATTCCATAGCGCTCTCTAAGTCGGTCAGTTGAAAACATTCATCACAGAAAAGCAAAAGAAAAGAGACCTAGTGTCTGTTTGGAAACCCGTTAGTCTTTGGTCAAATGACCAAATTAATGTTAGAATAATTTATTTCAAAAGTTGCATAAGGCCATTAGCTCCTTTCCAACAGGTTTTCAAACCTAAGCTTAGCTTAGTCCATCAATCCAATCATATTCCAAGAATCCAACTCATGTTTGTTCATCTTCCATATTGGGAAATTGAAACTAGCACGTAAATAAATATGCCTTCCTAAGATAAAATAGAAATTGAGAATATCCAAAAAGATAACGACATATAGAAAATTCGTTCAAACTCCAACGCCCATATACACAAATGGAGAAACACAAAAACAATGAAGGCAAGGGGATAAGAGGCAATTCATAGGACTACATACCCACTGAAGAAGAGGCAACACCCAAATCACAGCCAAAGGTCCAGAAGTGAACATCAACAATCTTTCTAGTCTTTTCATCGCCCTTAATATGGAGTTTCATGTCATCCCTACGAGTGGGTGCCCTAGCCAAGCCCATACTGACGATGGGGTCAATCTCATTGAAGTGTCCGACATTCTGCAGGTCATCGTAGCGATCAACAACCTTCTCAAGGGAGAATTGAGGCAGAACTTGGAGTGTTGGTGATGGCACCTCCCGTGACACTCCCAAGATTCTCTTTGAAACCAGCCTCAACATTCTTCGGTAGATTCGAAATCCTCTTCCTCTTCAAGGCTTCCTTCCCTTCAATTAGAAAATATATACTGTTCCTCAATTTTTTAGTTTTTTACATCTTATGAAGAAGATCAATGTGGTTTGGATTTGGGCATGCCCACGAAGGTTAGGGATTTCAAGCAACAAATAGTAGCCAAATACCATGCTTTATGAAAGAAAACCGGCAATCTAAGTTCACAAATATTGCAAAATTCCAGCATCGCTGATCATATACAGCACGTAAGTCTCTGGGGATTACAAAAGCAAGATCATTAGGACAGAGAGAATTGTTGAACGAATGTAAGCATACACAGGAAACGCTGCCTCAAGATTAAGATAAGAAAATCCACCCACATGCAATCATAGTCATGACTCCAAAAATCACTACTATGCAAAGACAATTCTATGTTCAATAATCATGGACCATTATTTTAAAGAGAGAAAAAAGAAAGAAACATTAAGTGTCCCGTTTTGATCTGGGCTTCTCATAAAGTAGGAACTCTGGATGTAAATGAGCGATTAAGTGTCCCGTTTCAAGGAATTTTTAATGGGTAATTTGATGGTCATTGTGATTGATTCAAATAACTGCATAAGGGCTGCCACAAAGCCGGATCCAGATCACGCGGTTTATACAGTTCTACGAGCTTTTAAAGTTCTATGGGCGTGAATTTTATGTTCTTGTTTGTCTTGAACAAAAAATTTATTTCATGTTACTGTTTGTTCTTGAACAAAAAATTTAAGAGAATGCACACCTTCCGTCGCATACGTCTTCCTCACCGTCCGAGTGGGTGGGCTTCGTCGGTCACAGCTCTTCCGTCGCACCCGTCTTCCTCGCAAGCCGCCCCTCCTGGTCGCAGACTATAGTCTATGGCGTTGGATTCAATTAGTTTTTCTTTTCTTTCTTTTTTGGGTTTTGAAGTAAAAGGTCTCAATTAGATTTCATGACTTCAGAAACGTCGGCTTCATGAAGTTAGCCCAACGTTACATCGGGCCCAAGTTAATAAGCGTGAAATTCAATTGAAATTCCTTTTCTCCGGGGAACAAAAACTCATAGTCATATATGTGATGTGAAGCCCAGATACATGCGTAATGGACTAATGGAGTACAACTTTATTTTTCTGGGTGATATTGATATATGCATGTAATTTAGCCTTACTTTTTACGGAATCATGCGTAAATTTACTTTTTTTTTTTAAGAGGCCAGCTTAAATGATAATATTTAAAATGACATGTTTTCAGAATTCGAAAAACCAACATAACTTCTTCTAACTCTATACTGTCCCATTCATAAAAAGGAAAAAATTTAAAAAAGACAAAGATGAAACAGTGAGTGACACGAGGCCAAGTGGCCAACTTGAGAGGTGATTTTTGCCATTGATGCCCGTCTCTGCAACTGCTGCTATCTTTATTTGCACCAACTTTGCATGCACTTGTTCTCAAATAATTCATTTCCATATGAGTTTTTATCAAACTATGACGATTAGTACTTATTAAGAATTGTAAATTATATCATTTATTTGGTATATGATCAGTAGTCATTCAAAGCCATGAATTAGGAAGGATTAGTTAACTAGTTCTCTACGAGTGTCTTTGGTTTTTTATTTGGAGATCCTTCGAAACTGCAATTATGGTATGGGTCAACGTAATTATCAAATCATATACAATAAGTAAAACTAAGGTTTCAGTTGGTTGCTAGGAATTAAAGAAATACAATGAATTGAAAAAATAAAAATAAAAAGATCAAAATGTAAAAAGAAATAGATGAACTATATTCATAAAAAAAATAATAATTTAATTCATAAGATTAAGAATCATAATTCATGAAATTTTTAGAAAGTGTGAATATCCTTACTTTTATAGTGTATAGTATTGAGTTTTATCATGGTTATTATAAAAGGAAGGAGTGACTTAATTTATTTTTATTTTACTTTTTTTTAATTCATTTCATTTTCATTTTTTCTAGCAATTAAATCAGATCTAAATGTCATTTCATTTCATTTTCATTTTAATTTTTTTTCATTTCATTTTCATTTTTTCCAGCAATCAAATCAGACCTAAATGTTCTTGTCGGGGTGATTACCAATTGCCCATCCATTTTTAACTTGTCCAATCATTTTTCAAGAATGTTTGACATTACCTGTTATTGGCCAATCACAAAAATTATTGTTAACCCTCAAATAGTGACGAACCTTGAGAATGTTAGGGCACGTCATAAAAACTTAAAAAGTCCACCGCATGCATTATATATACTCAACTTGTTGCATGATGATCAGTTGGAAGTTATTGTTTTCCATATTTAAAAAAAAATATGCCAGCGTGGACCATATCTTTCACTGCTCATGCGAGCACCCAAAATGAATCACCGGCAAGATATTATCTTTTATCGGATCTAAACAAACTTTGAAGTGATGTTTAAATATGATCTTTAAATCTGTGGCAATGGTAGGTACGAATAATTAAACTAATACACATATTGATAGAGAAATCCAAAGAGCTTGCTTTTGGATTGAAATCATTGGGCCGTATAAATATACATCAAGAAATTGGTTACTCATTAACTGCTCTAATTTTAAATGATTAATTGTACATCCCACCGACTCCAGTCTAATTAATGGTCACAATCTAATAATGCATTATTTTATGATTAGGACGACTAGAGGGGTTGGCATTTTCCTGAAGAGAGCAAGAGAGACGTGCGACTTTCCAACAGAGACAGCGTGGGCTCCACAGAACAACCTTGTGTTCATAATACGACCCTTGACCTAAAATCTCCCGCGCCAGACAAGCTCGATGATTATACTCCCTGTACGTATAGCCTCAATATAGTATTGCCTCCGTCCCCATTTCCCTGTTTGTCAATCATTGGCTTATCAAGATTATTCAAAGGTTATGTTAATCTCAGTTCACTAACGATACATGAAAAACCGTCCAATGCAGTGTGCGTTTGGATTTTAAATTGTCAAAAGTTCATTTGATAAAAGTTCATTTGGTGAAAGTTCAGTTTCATGAAAGTCAGTTGTTGTAATGAAATTTATGTTTAATATATTTTTCAAAAATCAGTTTGATACATTAAAAATTGTTTGATTTATGATTGTGAAATGTGCTTTTGAATGTACAATTATCAAAAAGGACATTAATTTATGATGATTTATAATTTTTATTATATAAATGTATATTTAAAATATTTAAAAAATGTAATAAAGATTATAAATAACATAAATTTTGATCTATAATACTAAAAATTTGATCTCTAATTATTTGTATTTTTTAATTTGTAATTTTAAAAGATGTAATAAAGATTTATAATTTTTATTATACATTAATGCTAAAAATTAATATGATTAATTACTCAATTTATAATACTAAAAAAATTGATACCTAATTATTATTATTATTAAGATAATAATTATATTTTTAATGAATTAATTATTTTTTAAATAAAAAATAAGAAATTAAATTTAGGGTAGTATGGTCAAATAACATCCTACTTTTCAAATTCACTTTTTAAAAGTTTCAAATATTATGTTTCAAAAATTCACTTTCAACTACTGTTTGAATGTACTTTCAAGATATACTTTCCTGTAAAATATTCTACCCAAGTAATTTTTAACTTTTTAAAAATAAAATTTTATTTTTTGAATGTAAAACGGAAAAAAATAAAACGGACCCGTAATATAATATCAACTTTATATCACGTAAGCTCAACACTGAGCGGTTAGTTACTTTAAAGTTAAACCATTGAGGTGTATAGAAGTCGAATTAAATCGCCTACCTTCATAGCATTTATTTATGTAGTGGAAAGGAATGTGTGATATAAAAAACGCATGCATGCATGTACGGCGTTTGTTTTTTATCACTCATAACTTTATTATTTTCTCCATCGTCAGCATGCGTGCATATTTACATTAATTTTGAATATATAGAGTTTAGATTGGTATAAACACGCATCATGACAAATCTTAGGTCCCACTGCCCAATCTGGCAGCACCATTTATTTACATACAGGGACAAAGAAATTTCCAGTCCTTCAAATTTCTCTTGATTAGTAATTTAATTTTTCTCAATAGTCCCTTGCTTTTCTTTAAAGTGTCATATATTTTAGTCCTCTAAATGTTAAAACACATTGATTTTTAAAATTATTCTGATATGTGATGTTGATAACCTGGTGCACGCGCATGTATATGTATGACTAAAAGTAATTAGCTTTCACAAGTCATATAATTAATTTCATTATTTTCCTTTTTTCTTTATTTTCACATGTCATCAAATAAGGAGAAATAAGGAAATTAGGTGACTCTTGTAAGTTGAATTTGTTCTCGCATTTAGCTACACCTGCTTTATATATATCAAATTACTTTGAGGTTTCAATTTGTATTTTAAAACCTAAAGGATTGATGTGATCAGAACTTTTCGGCCAAAAAACTGTGATCATAACTTAATGAAATGTAACATAAATTAAATTGATAACAAATAAATGTATAATATTAAATCAATAACAATTTTATTAATAACCAAAAAAATATTACAACCACTAATAGTCAAAGCAAAAAAAAAACACTCAAAAAAACCTTGAATACAACGTAACACACAATTCACAAAAAAAAAACAACAAGACAAAAATAAAGCAAAATAAGGCAACTTAACTCATGCCTTTTTTTGTTCCACTTGTACCATGATTAAAAGAAGCAAAAAAATTATCAGTCAATAAATCAGCAAGTAAAAAATGAGACAAAAAAGATGAAACTTCAACAAACCATCCAACTGGATATATCTTTCTAGAATCAATCGTTGTTAAAAAATTAGTAGCTTCATTACCTTGGCAAGCTATCAAAGAAAACCGAACATTCTTGCATGATTCTTTGACAGATAATATTCTGCACAAACTCAGAACAATGCCACTCATAATCCAAATTTAAGGGAGCAAAATTTCATTATCCTTTTATAGAAATTATCAAACTACAGGCCAATCCCTTTTCCGCTACCCGCCTTTTGCTCGCTTGCTGCTCGTCACTTGCATTTCCATAGTGGGTTTATGCGTCACTAACTAGCGCGCAGTTTCATGCATTGGGGTTGGCTGAAGATTGTGATTTTAGAGAAGTACAAATCACACTAAAGTTTCTTTATAACCATTGAGGCATATCGTAGACGGTAGAGTTAATTACTGGAATGAGAATCGTTGTATGTATAGTCTTGCACCAATGGATTAGTGGTACTTCTGCAAAGTTAGCAACAGTAGATGGACATCGTGCCTTACATAGATGACTTTAATCAATTCTATGCTGTATCATATAGAAATTGGAAGCCTTGTGTTTGATTATCCTATATATACCAGATTATAAAATGTCTTTACTCTTTGGTTAGAATATATTGATTGTCATCATTCTAGGATTCGAATCCTGAAAATATGTATGAAAAAAAATTACTTGAAAAAGGACAACCTCTTAAATAGCACTCAAATTTTTTAAGAATTAATCTTATAACTGCCGGCTATAGAGATGTTTGGACAACCAAAAGGAATATATTGATTGTCATGTGTGTGTGTGGAGCTAACTCACAAATTAGGAGAACATGTGCGCCGTGTTATTTTTTCACGTTAATTATGTGCGTGCGTGTAGTTATAGTAAAGCACTCGATAAACCAGCCAGCGCCTAGCTGCACGGTTGAGGTTTTCTTTTAACTAAAATAGTAAAGTTGGAACAATAATAACGAAACCCATACTGCAACCCCACTATAAGCATCTGAAAATGATATAGTTTGTTTAATTTGCGTGACTGGTTGCTTAGGGTAAATCATCTGTTAATTAATAGTGTGCTTGTCTCTATGTACATCTCTAGATTAAAAGAGATACTTTAATTTCAATTTTATAAGCCAAAAAATATGTAATATTTTGGTTTAATGTGTAGATAATCG